CAGGTTTACCTCCCTGAGACTCAGTTTCCAAATCTCTTAGAGGGGGATGATACTTCCTCTGTCTGTGTCACAGGGCTGGTGTGGAAATTAAAGGTGTGAAAAAGAGTTTAGTAAACCGTCAAGGGAAAAACAAAAACTGTTGAGCTACACAAAGTAAATGATAATTAGCACCAAGCAAGTCACACTGTGAGGATATGACTACATACTCCTTAGCCAGATAGTAGCTCTCCTCCCCTCCATAGCTACCCAGAGGAGGAGGCTGAAGTTGTGGGAATGGATAAGAGAGACACAGGAAAATGGTCAGGAAAGACTTTGGGGCCAGCAACACAGACTGTGGACCATTAAAGGGCAACAAGATATCCTGAAGTTTCTGGGTCCCTGGAAGCCAAGGAAGAAGGGGATTTTGGGAAGGAGGAAATGGTCAATGGTATGAAAAGCCTCAGAGAGAAGGAGGAGACCATAGTACAAGCTGGGCAAGAAGGGTATTTTAACAGGGAGCAAGTTTGGGCAGTGATTCTAGGTTGTAAGGGTTTGCGGAATATGTGGATGGTGAAGAAGTAGAGACTGTGTAGTATGAGACTCTGCTTTCAAGAAGTTTACTGCCAAGAGAAGGGCATGGAAAGAGGATGGTACCTTGAGATGTTAGCTTAAGGGGAAGGAACAAGGGAGAGAGAGGGAAGAAATCCAAAAAAGAAAGGATATAATTGCTGGAATGGTGTTCCAGAGGAGGTGGACAGGCAGGGTCAGGAGCACCTGGGGAGGGGGCATCCTGACAAGGAAGAGGTACACTTCTTCCTGGGAGACAGGGCAAGAGACAGCCATTCACTACTCTTGCCAGGTGATTTACATATATTACCTCATTTATTACCTCTGTGAGGTGGGTGTAATCATCTCCATTTCCCAGATAAGAAAACTGAGTCTTGAAGAGAAGTTAATAACTTGCCCCAAATCTCACAGCTAGTGAGTGTGACAGACTTAAAAACTGGGTCTGTTTGGTTTGTTTCCCTAGAGGGAAGAAAAAAAAGGAAGATGGCGATACTAAGAATTTAAGGTGAAAGGAGGGAAGTTTGAGGGAGCTTCTATCAGATAACCTAGATGTCATAAAGTTAGAGCAAAGTAGATCCCAAAGCAGATGAAAGCCATGATTTGGGAAGCCTGGTCTAGCAGTTCCCTCCACCCTTGAGCTTCATGCCAGACTGGGCCCAAGGAGAAAGAGGTTGTGCCCAATTCCAACTATTTCCAGCCTTGTGAGAGGGACTCCCAATGAGCTACACATACAAAAAAAGTAACAGGAAGGGCCTGGGGACAAGATCTCCTGCTCCCACCCTCTGCTTCCATCAAACACTAATGGGGTGCCCTCGAAGGCTAAACCACAGCTACTGGGCACTTAGTGTATATAAAATCCATCATCTCTAATCTGTACAACCACCCTTCTATATATATATAATTATTATCCCCTTGCTAGAGATAAGCAAACTGAGGTTCTGAAAGATGCTATTGCTTACACAACTACGAAGTCACGAAGCTGGAATGCAAACCTACACTCCTTCCGCTACACTTGTCTCTCTGTGCCCAGTGGGAAGCGATCAGAGGAAGAAAGGGTCAAGGTCTGATGTAGCTATGGAAGGGCAGGTTCCTCTGGGGCCCAGGCCTCTCTCCAAGGGACCTCTTCTGCTTCTGTTGGCTTATCCTGCCCTTCCCCCAATTCAGGATCCTCCAAGCAGGCCTGGAAGTGGAACGTCTCTCCCTCAGGAATTTCTTCCATTATTTCCATTCCAAGCGAGGCATGTGGAACCACCGCCAAATGAGGATGCCGTAATCCTGAGGGACGGCCTGCTGGACTGACCACTTCCTGCTTCTTGACTTGTGGTTGCTTCTTCAGGGCCCCTGCTCGATGCTGGAAGAGGGTAGGGGAAGGGGCAGAAGCAAAGGCTGGGCCCCATGAAGCCTCAGAGCTAAAAGCCCCACTCCAACGGGGCTGTCCCCTTACTCAGAAAGAGTTACCAACGTTCCTTTCTCCATCCTGGGGCCTCCAAGAAGGGAGGACTTTGGGAGAGGGGCCAGGAGGGGCCACTTATTGTCGACAGAGATGGAACAGCACCTGAGAAGGATGGGGCAATTAGGTCAAGGAAAGAAAGACCGCTTGAGCAATACTATCATTATCGATGAGGGTGCATTCCAGCGCCCACCCAGAGCTCCTCACAGGGAATATGGACCATGAACTGGAAATGTTTTTTGGACATGTTTTATTGGGGTTTTTATTTTTTTAACAGAAAACAAAAACTGTAACTGTCTAGTCCCTTGCAGACCCAGCATTGACTGTGAGAGGGGGATGAAGTTGTACATCTAGGGAAGGTCCCCACTTGCATACCTCAGACCCACTCCTGTGTAGCATTGAGTCCCTTGGTCCTGACCCTGGCAGCTGATCTGTAACCAGAGGGGCTGGCCCCATGGGGAGCAGTTCTTAGTTCTACCCCATGCACATGCCTTCCAGAGACACACCTCTCCCAGGGAGCCACTGAAAGTGGCCACCAACTAGGGCATTAACCTTACCCTGCAGGTGGAGCTAACTGCAGACTGACCAGAAGCACAGAACTGACATTATCATGCTAGTGCGACAGGGGAGTTGGGAGATAGGGAACTGGTGGGCAGTGGGCTCTTCAGCCACCAGCATACAGGCCGTGTGGAAAGTGCAAGGTGAAGAAGGCAAGGAAGTGAAGCTCTTCTCCCTCCCCAGCTCACCTGTAAGGTACAGCCTCTGGAGACAATATGAAGAAGAGAAGAAAGCAGATGTGGGAATAATCCATTGACTTCCCTTAGATGAGCAGAGGGGGTGGGGGCAGGCGGGACTATGGAAAGGGATGTGGAAAACTTGCAGAGTCCTCACAGTCCAATATCCCTATGGACTTGCCCTTCTGCAGGGAGAAGCCCAGCCACCTTGCAGGGCTGGTGGCGAGAGGAACATGCTGGATCTGTACCTTGGGTGGAAGAAGAAGGAGGTGTTTGGGTGAAACCCTGACCGTGAAACAGGGAGCAGGGTAGGAAATGGGGCAGGATGAGAGGTTTGGGAAGGTGAGGGCATCTCCAAGTGGAAGAGAGCAGGGGGCAAGAGGAAAGGAAAAGTGAAGCAGTTTCGGGGAAAATAGCCCTTCGCCCTTGTAGTCTACTGCCACCTTCCCCCTCTCCCCCCACCTGAGTGTCATACACTTATCTTGCACTAACAGTCCCCATGTGACTTTGTAGCTGGGGATTTTTCTACTGCTACTGCTGCCTCGCCCACTGCTGCTGAATTCACCAATGGTGCACTGGATGCTGGATCTTGAACTCCAGTGTCTGTTGAGGGAGGTGAGCACAGGGCCTCTCTGCTTTGAGGAAGGACTGCGAGGTGCAACAAGGCCCAGGAGACCAGTCAGCTGAGCCCAAGCTCCATGCTCTGACAGAGCCCAAATCACAGCATTTGGAGCCTCAGGATCTACCTAGTGGGCTCCTTACTCAACCAAGAGCATAAGCTTGGCATAAGGGAGAATGGAGCCAGTAGAGAACCTTCTGGGGGGTGGGGAGAATCCCTGCCTCCCTCTAAGAAATCAGGAATGACAAAGTCTTTTCAACTAATAGGTTGTGGCTTATGGATGCCATACAAGCTCCCTGGTCCCTGGCTCTTTATGGTCCCTACACAGGCCTGCTGCCTTCTGGAAAGGGCTCATAGGGAATAGGCAAGAGCTGCAGCTGGCCAGGTGGGGCCCAGGTTTCCTGCTGAGGCCACTCACTCTCATCCTTGGGCATTGCACTGGCAGGCCTGCAACAGCCCAAACAGGCTTCTGCTTCCCTCCTCCTTCTGATAAACCAGCCCAGCATTCCCCCTGCCCTGCCCACCACCCCTCTGTCCCTGGGCCAGTGCCTTGTGCAGGGGTGGGTTAACCAGTTAGCCAGGTACACACCGGCTTACTTGTGTTTATTTACTAATGTGTAGTGCACAATTTCACAGGGGTTTCACATCTTTGATGTGGTGAAAAACAGGTGAAATTGTGCACTGCAGATTAGTAAGCCAGCACAAGTAAGCCCGGGCGTACTTTGCTTATTGGGTAATCTGTCTCTGGCCTTGTGTTCAATGTTTATTAACTCCACACCGTCTGCCTTAAGGGAAAGGGCCTGGCATAGCCCCTACTCTGTAGGAAAATGTCTTGGGTTGGGGGAGGGAACGGGATGGTGGGAGGGAATTAAATACAGCATCTTCTCAGGAAAAAAAAAATGGCTCTTGTGTTTTCCTGTTGTCCTTCCATGGTGGGAGAGGGTTGGGCTGAGGGGCACAGGAACACATCTCTGTCCCTCAGCTGTCAGGCATCTGATGGACATGCCAAGTTCCCTCCCATGCCACCCTCCGCTCCTTACCATTATTCGTTTGGTGCCTGCGTGTGTGGGAGACAGCCTTCTGTGAGCTATGGATCACTCAGGAAGGGGACGACATTGTTCTGTCTGAGGAGCTCGCAGTCAAATAGTAGAGCAGGCATTTTCTGTTTCAGTGGATTAGCGGAGATTGGTGGTTTCAGCTGAGAAAGAATTTTGGATACCCTGGGTGAAGGCTAGATATAGAGCAAGAATGGTGAGCAGTGGAGAGGAGCCAAGGTCTGGCTTATTCTAAAATAGCAGACAATCTGAAAGTCATTTCTGTTTGAGCTGGGGCTGCCCTGTGATGCTTTACAGGTGCAAACTTACCTTCCTAGTTATATTTAGCCTAGACAGAGATCAAAATTAGTTTGTATTCCTTAAACACGTGTTTAAGAAAAAGCATAAACGTGAAAAATGTGAAGCTAGAGTAGGTTTATAGTAGAGTCTCGAAAAAGATTGTGTATACATGCATCAGTCCAGAATTGACTAATCTGGAATTGATGTAGCAGATGATAATTAGCCAAAGGCATGTAGGGCCAGGTAAGTTGAATCAGCAGAGCCCACAGGAGAGGGAGTGATTTTAAAGCCTGGAGTTTGCTCCTTTGAGCCGTTTCCAGGACACGGATGGAGAGGGCATTCAGACACCGACCTGGATGGTTGGGCCTTCGGCACTGAAGACAGACAGACTGACTCACAGTGGATTTGCAGAAAATTTTATAGACAGAAATCATTCCATTTTACAGAAAGGAAAACAGACCCAGAGCAGAGGCAAGGGATGGGGTGGAGTCAGCACCAGAGTCCTTTAGCTAGGAAGACTCTGTCTTCCTCACATGCCTTAGGTTCAGGAGATGCTACCAGGGAGAAAAGGCTGGCAGTACCCCAGTCTGAGCTTAGGACTCCAGACCAAGATGGAATTCACTTAGACCAGCAAAATACCACATCTTAATTGAGTTACTCATGGGAAGGGAGCAAGGGCATCTACACTGTCCTTTTAAAAGCTCTTCCAGGGTCTGGGGAAAGTGCCCAACAGCCTGGGAGATCAGGGAGGAAGGAGGTGGAAGCAGTTCCAGACCAGTACCTGGAAGGGAAGCAAAGAAGAGGCAGTGAGAGGGCAGGCCATACCCCAGTGCTCCTCAAACTTGAATGTGCACACGATTCACTTGGCAATCTTGTGGAAATGCAGATTTGACTCAGCAGGTCTGGAGTAGGACCTGAGATTCTGCATCTTCTATAACCTCCCAGGTGGTGTTTGTTGATGCTGCTGGTCCATGGACCACAATTTGAGTGGCAAGGATGCTAGACGATGCCAAGGAAGAACTCCACATTTCCATCTTTCCTCTTGCCAGAAGGACACAGCCAACCATACCATCCCAGGCTATAGAAAAACCCAAGTCTAGGAACTGAAGGAGAGCCAGCCATTTACAGAGCATGAGGGGGTTTTGGGCAGGCTTTTCTGAGTCTCAATCCAAACCCTTCTCCAAGATCCCCTCCTTACCTCCTATATCTGTAGCTTTCTTTTTCTCGACAAGGGATTTCTCTTACCCTGAGGTGAGAGAAGGGCCACCTGGAAGCCCTTGGACCTAGGACCTCCCTTCCTTCTCCCTCACCTCAGCCCCAGCTTCTGTTCAGAGAGGATTTCTTGAGGTCCTGGCAGCCAGGAACCCTGTCTTATGTGCCCCGAAGGCTGTTATGAAGATGTTGACGACAACAGTGATGAAGACCAAGGTGGTGGCAGCATTGTTGAGCTGGTTTAATCGCCACTGCTTTTCCACCTCATTCAGGTTCAGCCGTGCTGCGGAGAAGTGGGAAGTGGGAGGTAAGGGTCAGGGTGCGGGCCTCAGCCTGGAGCTTTTCTCACAACATCCACTGCAGTTTAGAGAAAGTCTGGCCCCCTCAGAGATCTATGTGGTAGAAATCAAGGGAGAAGGGAGTTATCAGGCTGAAATGCCTTTTGCTCTCACTGAGCATTCATGTGGTGCTTACTAGGATTAGGATTTGGGAATGTACACTGGGTTTTCTAAGAGTGGGACTACATTCTCACAAAAAGGGCTATGAGGAACTCTGACATAAGTTAGTGAGGGCAGTCATTCAGCAGGTATTCATGGAGTGTCCACTATATGAGATGCCAGGAGATAGGACAGCATGCCTGTCCTCACTGTATAGGAGCCGTTGTTTGGGCATTTGTGGATGCAGAGGGCTACCACGAGGTTGTTGTTAGTTGCCCTCAAGTCAGTTCTGACTCATGGTGACCCCCTGTGTGCAGAGTAGAACTGCTCCCTAGGGTTTTCAAGGCTTTGGCCGCTAAGAAGCAGAATGCCAGGCCTGTCTTTCGAGGCACCTCTGGATGGATTCAAACTGCCAACCTTTTAGCTAGCAATTGTTTGCGCCACCCAGGGACTCCTAACACGAGGTTAGCTAATGGTTAAGTTGGCATGTGCAGAGTGGTATAGGGAGGTGCTTGGGGCTTCTCTTCCCACTAGGGGGCGCTGAAAGCCTGAGCCCCAGGCCTGGGCTCCTCACCAATGACCACAAGCAGGATTCCGATGACCACCTGCAGAAGCAGGGAGATGCTGATGAGGGTTATGAGGGTGATGTAGTAATGAGAGGATGGCCCCTGCTCCAGTACCACTTTCAGCCGCGTGGCGTTGGACATGAAGAGGGCCACGTCCAGCATGCTCTCTGCCACGCTCTTCTTGGTGGCATAATGGTTCAGGTTGATGAGCTGGTTCCTCCTGGGGTTGGAATTCCCGGGCTGCAAGAGAGAAAGCAAGGCTTACCTGGGAGTCTCCAGAAGGGAAGCAGTTGAAAGAATAGAAAGAGCAGAGGGCTATTAAATTTTAGTTCCCTCCAAACCAGGTGGGACACCTAGGGCAAGTAACTCCCTTCTCAGCTTTGGGCCTGACAAAAAACATAAAGGTTGGGCTAAAAAACATTTAAGGACCTTTGAGCTCTGAAATGATGTTATGTTATAATTTATATTTCATGGAGGGTCACCCCTCACACCTTCACACATCCATCTAAAGAAAGGGGGAAGGGTCCTCGACTGCTTCAAAATGCACCTTCAGCATTTTACTCACTATTTTACCTGGGCCAGGTGTCAGAATGGGTTTGCTCTCTTTTCATCTGAGAACTCAATAGGAGGAGCTCTGAGGCTTAGGTGAAGTAGAAAAAGGTACCTCTTCTCCCAGAATGACATGGCCCCAAGGCAGGATGCACAGATTAGCAAATGGAGCATGGGCTGTTTTGATCCCTCTAGGCCCCAGCACAGGTGCACGCAGGTGCAGCCACAAACGTGCTGTCAGAACACATTCACACATGTATGTCTAGATACACACAGTGATGCATACTAGCCAAAGCCTCTGAATTTTTTTTGGCTAGAATTTATAGAAGTATAATTTCCTTTTTGATTTGATTTTAAAGCATACAACGAAACTCCTCAAGAAGCCACTAATTCCAAGGCAGGCTCACAATACGCGGCCTATGTTATCAGCTTCTGGGTTAGGCCAAGAAATTCAGACTGTATGCTACAAGCAATCTGCAGTCTCTCAACATTACTTGGGCAAGGTTTAGGGAGATTAACAGGGGTGTTTGGGATGGTTTGGCCCAAAAGGACCATAATAGACCTATTCAAAGGTTATGGTCTTAATTTAGGGTCAAGGCGACAAGGCACTGAACTACAGTAGTGGTGAGAAAGGAGAGGGAGGACTGTGAAAGATCGGACAGCCTGAAGGTAGGGAAGCCAATCCAGCAGTTACCAGGACAGGATAAATACCTGTTGGATGGATGCGATGGATAGGTGAATAGATGAAGGTTCTGGATATATTCTGCTCCTTGTATTCAGTGTGATGCCAGCAAGTCACTTCACTTCTCTGTACCTCAGGTTAAAAACATAGACCCCAAGACCAATGGGAGAGGAGAGAAGCCTAGCTGATCAGGACCTTTGAACTCTAAAAGCCCTTAAGAGGTCCTCAAACGCAGTGGTCTCCAAACTTTCCTAATAGTGCACTAAAAAATGTTTTTGACCATGCATCCCTAATACATGTGCATTATTTCATTATAAATTATATACATATCCATTTAAAAAAAAAAAACAAAACTCATTGCTGTCGAGTCAGTGGTGACTCAGAGCCACCCTACAAGACAGAGTAGAACTGCCTCATAGAGTTTCCAAGGAGCAGCTGGTGGATTCCAACTGCTGACCTTTTGATTACCAGCTGTAGCTCTTAACCACTGTGCCACCAGGGCTCCAAGTATCCATTAGACTAATGTTGTCGTTGTTAGGTGCCATTGAGTCGGTTCCGACTCACAGGGACCCTACGTACAACAGAACAAAACACCGCCCGGTCCTGTGCCATCCTCACAATCATTATGCTTGAGCCCATTGTTGCAAAATTGTGTCAGTCCATCTCACTGAGGGTCTTCCTCTTTTTCGCTGACCCTCTACTTTACCAAGCATGATGTCCTTCTCTAGGGACTGATCCCTCCTGACTACATGTCCAAAGTATGTGAGATAAAGTCTCGCCATCCTTCTAAGGAGCATTCTGGCTGTATTTCTATGTATTAGACTAATATATACATATATATATATATGTA